CGTTGTACACTCAGGCCTTCTTCAGGTGGTTGGAATGTCGAACTGAACCCTTTATTTCGCTCACTGAGGTAGACTGTTCTAGTTTCACGTGCCATGTCTAATGGATGTCAGTTATCAGTTATCTCCTGTTAATTCCCCTCTCCAAGTTCTCCGCCGCCTTAACCAGGTATTGAACTCACACTCTTTGGGTCCTGTCACTGGATCTAACTAACGCCTTTATCCACTCTGCCATGTGTCCTTAAGGACATCTGTGTATGAATGTCTGGGTATCATAAACCTAATGTCTTCAGCAACCATTTATTACCAGTGCTCATATTGTAATTTTTGCTGTTATCATCTACCCCAGCAAGTGAAATAAAGGGTTCAGTTCGACATTACAACCACCTGAAGAACGCCGAAGCGTACAACGGTCGAAACGTTGTGATAAATATGGCAACGACGATGAGGATGATAGTCCGAGCAATGTAAATAGTGTACATAATACCTCATCTCAGAAATATAGACAGATAAAAGACTGCATTTGCAAACATTGTTAACGGACAGACCACAAGAAAATATCCCGGAAGTAAATAATGACATATATGCAACATCTTTGGGAGCTATTAAAAACTAAATATCAGGACAAATAAAAGATTAAACAACAGACAAAAAGAACCCATTTGGAAGGCAAAACTAAAGCGGGAAGTTCAGGAAATCAGACGTGAGTTATCGATACTAGATGAGATTCAAGAATTTCAAATGTTTCAACACAGAAAAGCAGGAAGGTCAAGCAGAAATATAAAATTAAAGCAATAAATGAAATTCCAACAATGAAGGAAATACTTAAACCGAAACAACAATTAAAGACACAAAGAACAAGACGATATGAAAAGCGTTGTTAAGTTCTATCGACAAAAGAAGATATTCCAAACAAACCTCAAGAAGTTTTACAGGGAAATTGAAAAAGCAGTTAAAGAAGTCAAAAAGTTACCATCTATTGAAGAAGGGCAAAACTTTTTTGAGAATATTTGAAACAACCCAAATGAATATCATCAAAATACAGAGTGAATCAAACTAGAACAAGAAAGAATGGAGAATAAACCTGTGTAAGAAAAATATAATCAAGAATAATGTTAGGCAAGCTCTAATAAAAATCCCCAAAATGGAAATGAAATATTGAAGTTTGTACTTAGGGAATTAAGTTGACATTATGGTTAACACCCAGTGGCAACAGTCTGTTTCATGCCTGAACACAATTGTTAGGTCATCTGCATTGTGTTTTCCTTGACTATTTATATATACTGGCCAGTGGCACATTATGAGTAGATGTATTGCATTATTTTAATGGTTATTTGAGTTGGGAGTAATGGTTATTCTAAGGGTTAGAGGGTGGAAATAATTGTGGATCCAGATGCAGCTGTGTGGCTATTTTATAGTGTTGTTAGTTAAGTCTTTTATTTATTATTTGCTGTTAGCTGTTATTATTATTATATTAATAGTTGTTTCGAATTATTCTTGATTGTAGTGAGTGGAAATAATAGTAATGATGAGCAATAATAATGAAGATAATAATAATAATAATAATAATAACGGTGATAATAACATAATGAAGGATAAATCTGTGTAAGAATGGAAAAATATAATCAAGAATAATATTAGGCAAGCTCTAATAAAAATCCCCAAAATGGAAATCAGCAGAAATGACAAGGTACATAACTTTTGACTCATCATCTGTCATCAGACCATAAAATTCTTGTACAAACTTTATCAATCCTAATTAATTAACCTAATGAAATTCCAGAATGGATCACTGAAGGTATTACATATCTCTTAGCAAAAAAGGGTGAAACAGATGATCCCAAAAATTATAGGCCAATAACATGTCTGCCCACTACATATAAATTGGTCACGTCTCTCCTGACGAACTGTACTTACTCTTTTCTCGAGGAAAACAGCATTTTTCCTCTGGAATAGAAGGGATGCCGAAGAGGTATATATAGTTGCAATTCATTAATAAATAAAATGATCCTGGAAAATTGTAGGAAAAAAGGTCGAAATCTCAGCACAGCTTATATAGATTACCATAAATGCTTTGATAGTGTACCATATTCTTGGCTCCTTAAGGTTTTCGTAATGTACAAATGTCTCCTCGGTGATAGTAAACTTTCTTAAATATAGTAGGAATCTGTGGGAAAGCACATTATAATCTAAATCACACCAATGATACTGTCACTTCCAATTGTTTGAATATCCGATGAGGAATCTTTCAAGGAGATTCCCTGGCACCCTTTCTGATCTGTACGTCCTTTAGCACATGAACTAAACAGTAATAACTCTGGATATAAAGTAAAAAAGAAAGTTGTTTAATCACTTATTCTACATAGATGATATCAAACTCTTTGCTAAAGACGACAGTGAGTTCAAGTGTATCTTCAATAATGTAAAATGTTTCAGTGATGACATCGGTATGGATTTCGGATTAGATAAATGAGCCAAAGTATCATTCAAGAAATGGAGAATTACAAAAACATATTCAATAGATCGAGATTTCGCCACAAAGAACTGAAACATGAAGAAACTTATAAATACCTAGGAGTCAGCGTTAGAGATGGAATCCAGCATATCAAAATGTAGGAGAAAGTAAGAAAAGAATGATACAGGCTTGTACGTCTGGTGTTAAATACCGAGTTGAATTCACAAAAAAGAATATCAGCCTACATTATTGACATTATTCGGACAATTGTCCTCATCTTTGTCGCCATATTTTCCGCCGTTGTACGCTCCGACCTCCTTCAGGCGGTTAGAATTTCGAACTTAACCCTTTATTTCGCTCCCTGGGTAGACTGTTCTAGTTCCACGTGCCATGTTTAATGGATGTCACTTATCAGTTATCTCCTGTTAATTTCCCTCTGAAAGTTCTCCACTGCCTTAACCGGGTATTGAACTCACACTCTTTGGGTCCTGTCACTGGATCTAACCAACGCCTTTATCCACTGCGGCATGTGTCGTTGTAATAAATATGGCAACAAAGATGAGGACAATAGTCCAAATAATGTAAATAATGTATATAAAACCTCATCTCAGAAATATAGATAGATACAGAATATCAGCCGTAAACACTTTGGCTGTTCCTGCGGTGCAGTATAATTTCCTAAACTAGACCATAGTTGACATTAAGCGAATGGGAGTCAAAACGAGAAAGCTTCTTCCTTGCCATCGCAAATGATGTTGATTGTTTGTATGTGACCAAATCCGACGGAGGCAGAGCATTAGCTCAACTAGAAATGTCTTACAAAATCACAATAGTCTTCAAAGATAGTTGGAAACTACGGAAGACTGGAGGATGCTATGCGACAAAGAACATGAAAGAAATAAGAAACTTTATTCAGTAATAAAAGAAGCCAACAAATTCAGAAGGGAAAAGGATGAAGAAGTGCAAATAAATCATAATACAGCGACTGCAGCAGCAAAGAACTTTAAACAAGGAATCAAAAGCAAATGCAATGTACCAGATGCAAAATCGATGTCAAGAAAAGCCTCTTTATAGTCAATACTCTGGCCGTACCAAACAAGTTGATATAGACAACCCCCGTACCCATCAGCGGTTACTTCGTGTAGAGTTAAAAACTGAAACAAAAGGTTTTATTCTTGCTGCACAGAATCAATGCTTGCTAACTAGAAATTACCAAGCAGACATACTGAAAAATTGTGTTAACCCGAAATGCAGATTCTGTGATGAAATATGCAGAAACAATTGACCATCTTGCATCCAGTTGCACTGTATATAAAACTCGACATAATAGTTTGCGCTAATATCTACACTGGAAAATGTGTCTCTTTTACGGGAAGGAAAATGCAAAATATTGCTGTGAACATCACCCTGACCCAATTACAGAGATGGGACCTGTAACAATTTTATGGTATTTTACAATAGACACAGACAGAACGACCAGTGCTAATCGCCCAGACATCTTGATCAAAAACCACAATAACTGAATATGCTTTGTTATTGACATGACAATCCCTTCAGATTATAATGTATCTTTGAAGATCTTCAAAAAAAAAAAAAAAAAAAAACTATCAAAATATAAGGATCTTGAAGTGGAAATATAAAAAAAATGTGACACTTGAGAAGTCTATTTTACTGAAAGCTGTCAAGAGAAAGAAAGTTTCAACCGATTGTAACGCTAATGTGTCCTTTATGTGACTTTAAATCGCAAGCGAGATGAGAAACCCGGCTCCTAGTAAACACAAAAAAAATCTTCCAGACGCGTCATCGAATTATCCCGCATGCAGAGTGTTACATAAGATTTGGAAAACACACTTTCAATAGGTTTTTCATGAATTCTGAAATGAAAAATACTTTTGATACACACTTATATCTTGTAAAACATATTTGTTTATCACTTCGCTATAGTTTGACAAATGCAAATTTGACACAAATCTATAGTCATGGTATTCTCTGTGTGAAAACCCTATTGTGCTTTTGTATGCGACCACTTTCACGACTCTTTTGTTTAAATGCGTTTTAATTAACAGAATATCAGAATATGAATATATCTAATCTATTCATCGCAATACAAAACAAAAGGTTCAAGTGAAAATTCACGGCTCAAATGTCACGTTTCTTGTAACCTAGAAAAGGTTACTGAATGAGGAATAACCAAAATGGAGGTTGGAAATGAAATGTTAATCTTTATAAGATCAACAAAATACAATACTCGCCAGCGGTGTGAAGTAGGTAAACCACTGCTAGTGGTGGACTACATAGACAGCATACTACCCCCCTTCCAATAGTGTGCAACGTATTTATGAGGATTGGGACATACCCGTTAGTGTTCATAGGTACCGTATATAACATTTCTCTATTTTCTTCCGATGAATCTTTATTATTTAATTATCATCATCATTATTATTATTATTATTGCTGTTGTTGTTGTTAGGGATTAAGTGTGTTCTGAAATTCAACAAATGAATCTTTGTTCCTAGCGCTTTTGGCTAATCTATTATCGATTTTCAAGGATTTCAGTTATGCTATTGTAAATGGCGAGTCCTTCTTCTTCTTCTTCTTCTTCTTCTTCTTCTTCTTCTTCTTCTTCTTCGTGCCGTATCCCTTCAAGACGTTAGCGATCATGTCTCTCCTCAACTTCCTCTCTAGGGAGGTTATGCATTGTTTTTTTTCTGTTCTTCTTGTTTTCCTTCTGCCCTGTGAGTATCAACTTTTCCAAGCCGTCTTTCTTCATTATGTGTCTTAAAATTTTCAACTGTCTCTTCCTAATGTTAAGTATAAATGTCCTTTTTGCTTCCAAATTTCCAATGTTCGGCCCATGGAATTCTCAGCATCCTTCTGTTGAACCACATTTCTATGGCTTCAGATCAGTTCCTCATATGTGAGGACTTTTCCCAGCATTCACTGCTATATAGGATGATTTATATTGCGTAATAGTTCAGTATAATTTTTTTTTGTTTCTAACGAAATATTTATGTTTCTTAATACATTGCTTAGGTTATGAAAGACCTCTTTCAATATCCCAATGAGCCTTCGAATTTCAGTGTCGTACTATCCGTGGTCTGTTAAAACACTTCCCAGATATTTAAATTGTTCTGCTTGTTTCATTTTGCTATCTTCGATTTGTGATTTACATGTAGGGCTGCTCCTTTTCCTAACAACCACACATTCTGTTTTTTTTTGCAATTGTCGTTTGGTCCTTCTCGCTTTTATTTACTACCTTCAGTTGGAGTTCTTGTAGTTTCTTTTCTGCGTCTGCTATCAACACAGTGTCATTTGCATATCTTAAGATTATGGTCGCCAATAATGAATCCTGGTAGGACTTCTAATTCTCACAGAATTTCCTTACTCTATAGTAGTGTTTCCCAACCGATTTTGGGTCATGCCACACTTTGGTATTTCTAAAATTCTGGTGCCCCCTCCTATAATATTTAATTCCTACATATTCCTAATTTTACTGCAATTCACGTGAAAGAAGCTTAAAAACTTGGTCTTTAAACAAGCCTCCAAAGACCATGGCCTCCATGAGAAAAATAAAAAAAGCAAAAAGACAGTTAAATATATATAGTTTCAAAACTTATAATAGAGAAATGAAAGGTAGAAATATAAAATATTTGAATGAAAGTTTATTCTGTAATATACTTTGATAAAAAATGACTGTAAGTGAGATACTTGTATGTCATGTCTGCTACAGATAGATTTTATATTAGGTACCAATTTAGTCAGCTTAAGCATCAAGTTTCCTCATTTAGTGATATCCAGTCGATTTCTTTTCTTTAATAATAAATCATTTACAACACTAAAGCCACATTCAGCTAAATATTAAGATAGAAATGGTAACAAATTTTTTGCAACGGTAGTTGAATTTTTATGTATGCATCCTGTATATGCATCGTATGTATTAACACGCATTAGCATTAACACTCTCACTCAGACGCACTAGAAAACAATTCACTGTTAATAACTCATTCTCAAATTGTCCCCTTATTCTGTTGGTATAGTCAACCGAAGGGTGCACATCCTACGCATGCCCCACCAAAATATTACCATGCCCGAACGGCAGGGCATGCGCCCCACGTTGGGAATCATTATTTTATAGGTTAAATAAATCCGGTGAGAAGACACCTACTTGTCTTCCACCTCTTTAATTTTATTTTATCCACATGCAAGTGGTTTGCTGCCAGTATAGGTTCTGGATTGTTCTAATATTCTTCCCAAATATGTCATGGTTATCTAAGCTCTTCCAATTCTTCCTCCGAACCCACGTTATCAAACGCTTTTGCATATTCTATAAAACACAGGTATACATCCTTCTAATTGCTCTTTTTAATACCATGCAGAAACCATGAACTAATTTTACGCTTAACTCGCAATCGTTTAAATGTGTATAAGATTTAATATATATATATATATATATATATTAAGTTTTAGTTTCCTTTCTTTTATCATATGGCCAGTTTTAGACCCACTGGAGTGACAGGGTGTAATCGGTTGCTATTTTTTCCTCCGATTAGGCCATTTGCAGTGTTGTGCAGTAATATGGATCTATTTTCGGGGTGTATGATTAAATTTGTTTGGCCTTGAAAAATAGTGCGTCATCAGATTTTCATCACGCCCAAACACTATTGTCTCGACTGTCGATTAGTTGTCCTATGACCATTGTCTGCGATGGACGTTACTCCAAGGAAGCGTACAAAAATTGTAACGCTGCACGAGCACACTGACAAGCCTTACCAGTGAGTAAATCAAAGTACTATAGAGTGGACCGGAAACTCTCCTCATTTAAATCCAATCGAGAATCTGTGGTCAATCTACAAGGAACGACTTCGTGGAATAGACGTACAAAGTACTAACATGTGCATTGGGTTATGTTTTATTGGAAAAATACGAAAGAATAATAACGGAATTATTCGTTTTGTTTCAATTAATTTGCGCAGGGGTGTATGTAGGCCCAGAATAGAACAATGAAGTTTCTCCAGATAGTAAACATCATTGTTGGAAAGCGAGTATTCCTAATAGTAGTATGTGGAGAGAACAAAATGAAGACAAGGTGCGAATTTAATAAACGGGGACGTTACGTAATGAACCTTGTCTGGAAATGGTAAAGTAGTTAAAACGTTAAATCAAGTCTTTGACCGCTGAAATTGAATTTATAATCTATTTCACAGATCTTCACATCTCGCAAGAAACAACATCCATTACCAACAAATTCAAGTATATGAAACATGTAGTATTTATAAGAAGAAAAAAAAAGAGAATGGTGTACTATTTTTTTTAAAACGAAAAGATGGGTTTTATCGCCTTAGCCTGACAAAATATTTCGGCAAAAAGAATTTATACGAAGAATAATTTCCATTTTTCTAGAACCTCCATTTCTAAATTGAATTTCTTCGATCACGCTTTTCGCTTGTGGAACTCCCCTCCGACCTCTTGCTTGCCTATAAACTTTGAGCTTCAAAAATTTAAATGCAATGTCAATCATTATCTTTTACCTTCTTAATCCTTCTTTTATTTTCCCTTCTTAAAAGTAAATTTTTATCATATTCTATAACACTCAATAACCCCCCCCTTGTGTCTTAGTAGCTTTATTGCCTTACTAGGTGTGAAATGATAAAAAAAACAACTTCAATGATAACAGTTTCCTTTATCGTATTTCTCGTTTGTAGAACTGGCATAGAAAAGAATTGGTAACGGATACAAATTTACGGAAAACAGATTTGCCCAGTAACGAGTAGAAAGTGGCCATTGTTATTTGGCAGTAAATGTTGGACAATTTCCTCACCGATGAAAATAAAGCTTAAAGTAACTGACATTGTTTTACAGAAGGATACTGAGAATAGATTAAATGGTGAGCAACGAGAAGGTTATAAAGAAAATGAGAAGAAAAACGTTCTTATATTTACAATCAGTAAGAGGGATTTGAAATTTCTAGGACACATATCGAGGGAGGAAGGCATAGAGAATTTAACACTCACAAAACATATTGAAGACAATATGGGAAACAGTCGTATTTATATAAATGGACGGAGTGTGTTCCTGGGTGGTATGGGAAGAAAAATTGCTTAGAGCTACAAAAGGGCGGAAGATGTAGAGAGCCATGATCGCTCAAGTCATGAAGGGAGAAAACATACAAAAGTATTATTAACACTTTTTCTTTTTTCATTCAGATCCAATATTTATGTGTGGGCAAAGCCAGAACTGCAATTTTCGTATTTAGTGTCAGGGTGAGGGTGTCAGAAAGACGCCATGTCCTGTATTGATCTTCACCCACGGGCCGATAGGATGCAACACATGATCGATTTAACATGGGTTGTACATATACATACATATAAGCCAGGGACAAAAAGTATTCACTTTGGTGTTGGTGGTGGTATCTACTCACCACTTTTGAGCAATGGGGAACGGTTGCTTCTGTAATTACTGAGACTAGGCATATTCATTACATTGTGAACTGCTCAAAAGCATAGCAAAAAAGAACAGATACTACACTTTGATCAAAGCTCAATCCCTAATCGGTAATTTAATATGGGATGGCATACATACAAGCCAAGTAAAAAATTACTCACTCCCCGCAAACCACTGTCACGTTCTTTCTTTCATCAGTGTAATGACGGCGGTGCTGGGGAAGAATTGAAATCCCTGGGGGGGGTCTATGCTTCCCTCATAATTTTAAAAGGGAGAGGGCAGATAATACATTTAAAAGGAGTTGACCATAGTCGGGATCATTGAATCAATACGAATGAACCTTTCCTTAGCTGCATAGTATGTGCTTCGAGAGTATGTGCACTGACAAGGAAGGGCGACATACAGTTTTGAATTCAGAATTTTCCTTCTTCTAGACCGGTTACCATCCAAGGCTACAGAACTCAGTCTATCCTACTATTTACCCATAGCTGGAGGAAGAAAACCTGGATTTATATAATACTTGATCTATGAGGTTAATATTTATCACCGAATTAAGTGCATTGATAAGGAAGTCGGGACCATCTAGTCAATGCGAACGATCCTTTCCTTAGCTGCATAGTATATACTTCACCCGGGTGACATACAGTTTTGTATTTTCTTTCTCCTAGACCGGTTTCAACCTATAGAACCCAGTCTGTCCTAATATTTACCCATAGCTTGGGGGAGAAGAGCTGGAGTCATACCTTTCCCAAGGGTATTAACACATAAGTGAATGTAATGAACCCGATTGGAATTCGAACAAAAATCTCCGATGCCCTAATCCCAACTGCAATCCATTAATCCACCGTGCCTCGTCAATACATCTAAAATCCAGTAAAAACCGAGTAAAGTACGCCTGATCTTGTTTTTGTCTACCCTCGAGGGCTGGTAGGATATGACACATGGTCAGTTTAACGTGTGTTGCCTCTCCGTTTACATTTGGGACAAGGAAAAAAAACTTACGCTCTCCTCAATGCAATAGGGGAGGTGCTGCAACGGGTTTGGGATCTTTATAGGGCCGTGAACTGCTCGAAGCCGGAACCGCGTCGGAAAGAAGAACAGATACTTCACTGTGATCCCAGGCCGAGCGTCAATCGGTATTTATTTCCTCCCCTCGGTAGCGGCGTGTGACACGAGAACTTCTTTAATGTGTGGTGCACATACGGCTATGTAGGGGTCAAATACACAAACTGCACAGTCTCAACAACCACTGTTATTCTCGCGTTTTGTATCCACCAATCGTCTTTCTTTAGGGCAATGAGTGTTGCAGTTTTTTGTGTATATATATGTGACTAGTGAGTTAGCCCAAATGACGTGACTCACTTTATAGTCCACCAATAGAAGGTTAACCAATCAGAAGACGTAGAACATTCAATCCGTCATGTATAAAGGCGGCCATTTTGTTTACTCTCTCCGAATGTCCAGTGCCAACTTGTCAGGCGAAAGAACAGAAGGAAGAACTACTGAACTACGCTCTGCTACTTTTGCCGAGATATCCACTACTAACCTGAACTACGCTTCCCTACTGTCTTCGAAATATTCACTGCTAACCTCTGGATTCTATACTCAAAGACGACCGTCATCATGAACAACAATGAGGATGTACTTTAGGATTGGAATCCTTGTGGATAAACATTCCACGGACCTTTTCCGTGAATAGATCGACGATAAAAAACAAAATAGAGAACAGATACTACACTTTGATCCTAGACCGAAGACGAGTAAAGAATAAAGGAGCGGCTCGGATTGAGGAATTTGAGAGCCGAGTTCGAATTCCAGTCGAATCGATTACGTTCACTTGAGAAAGGTATGAATCCTCTTCTGCCCCAGAAAAAAATCTGCCTCGTCAGTCATGTATCGAAAGATACATGATCGGCTAAGCGTGTATCACGCATGGTACATAACTGACTGAATACTTAAGGAAGGAGGCACGGTGGAGTAATGGATAGCGGTTCGGATTGAGGAATTGGAGAGCCGAGTTCGAATTCCAGTCGAATCTATTACGTTCACTTACGTGTTAATACCTCTTCCCCCTCAGCTATGGGTAAATAGAAGGACAGACTGGCTTCTATGTCCTTGAATGGCAGCTGGTCTACTACAGTAAGAAATTGCAATGCAGGAAAAAAATCTGCCTCGTCAGTCATGTATCGAAAGATACCTGATCGCCTAAGCGTATATCACTCATGGAGCAGTGGCTTTATTGCCTTTGATCTTCAAAAATTTAAATGCAATGTCAATCGTTATCTTCTGTCTTCTTAATTCTTGTTCTTTTATCGTCCTCTCTCCTTAATAGTAGTTTTTCTCATATTCTCTAACACTCAGTAACCCCTTGCGTTCTAGTTGCTTTATTGCCTTACTTGGGTTGAAATGATTAAAAAAAATATCAGAGACCGTCTAAGCAAACTGGGTTACTCGGACAGAAGGTAGTTTTTTTAACTGGGCCTCTCCTGTAATGTTACACGCTACTTTTATCAAAACATATCTTCATATCACGCATATTTGGTTGTGATGCATTTGCCTAATATATACTTATCAGCCAGAGTGCCTTGATGGGCTTCGTATATTTGTACCCTAGCCTTTCTTGACGTGTTCGATAATAATAATAATAATAATGACATTGTTATTAAAGACCACAAACAAAAAAAAGTGCATCCTTATTGATATGGCAGTCCCTGCAGACCTCAATGTATATTTGAAGATCTTCAAAAAGCTGTCAAAATGCAAGGACATTGGAATCGAAATCTCAAAAATGTGGCACATGGGAACATCAACAATCCCTGTTGTAGTTGGAGCCTTCGAATTGGTTGGAAAAGATTCTATTAGACTCTAAATTTCTGAGATGAGGTATTATGTACACTATTTACATTAATCGGACTATTGTCCTCATCTTTGTCGCCATATTTATTACAACGTTTGTACGCTCCGGCCTTCTTCAGGTGGTTGGAATGTTTAAACCCTTTATTTCGCTCACTGGGGTAGACTGTTCTAGTTCCACGTGCCACGTTTAATGGATGTCAGTTATCAGTTGACTCCTGTTAATTCCCCTCTCCAAGTTCTCCACTGACTTAAGGACACATGACACAGTGGATAAAGGCGTTGGTTAGATCCAGTGACAGGACCCAAAGAGTGTGAGTTCAATACCCGGTTAAGGCAGTGGAGAACTTGTAGAGGGGAATTAACAGGAGATAACTGATAACTGACATCCATTAAACATGGCACGTGGAACTACAAGAGTCTACCCCAGTGAGCGAAATGAAGGGTTCAGTTCGCCATTCCAACCACCTGAAGAAGGCCGGAGCGTACAAAGGCCAAAACGTTGTAATAAATATGGCGACAAAGATGGGGACAATAGTCCGAATAATGTAAATAGTGTCCAGTAGACTAATTGAAGGGATTCCTGGAAGCCTATGCCTCAAAGAAATACAAAAATTGTTCTCACAAGTACAGCCCACACTTTACGAAGGGCTTTATCTATGTAAAAATTTTTTTTTGTCAGTGGAAAGTGTTATGATTTCTAATCTTAGGTCTCTGGGCGGGACCCGGAAAGAAATGTGTACACGCCAGAAATCAAAGGAAATAAAAACATTAATAATAATATTCTTGATTAATCTTTCTAATTTTTCACACACTAACGCTTTGTGTCTTAGTGGCTTTACTACCTTGCTTGGGGTAAATTTGATTAAAAAAAACTTTGACCCCGATCCGAAAGTCGTGTAAAGGAGCGATGATCGTAGGGAATGTGTCGAGGAGGGGAAATAAACCTTCCTCAGCAGGGCGAACAAATATTCTTATCTCGTATAGAAGGGCCAATTCATAAGTAAATAATACATTAATTTTTGACGGGTATTGTGCTAGTACTAAATAATAGGCGAAAAGGGGGTGAAGAATTATCACGTGAAAACCCTTGTAAAATATTTTGTCCGCAGAGAGAGAGAAAGAGAGATAGACAGATTTTTTTTTCTTTCAAAACGAAATCTAGGGCGTGAATTTTATTAAGCAAATGGGGCGTCAATATTATTAAGCAAATGCTATTTTTGAAATTCTCAAATATTTTGTTTCAGCTGAGATTTATTTTATTAGGAAAGCCTCTCCATTACGAATCAAGTTGGCGTATGGGTGGGGCAAATTCAAGTTCGTTAAAGAGGAAACATCGAAAACTGAAAATGCAAGCACATGACCAGACGGTGCTGTTGACCTTGACTTTTCGACCCAGCCAATCAGAAGCGAGAAATAGCATCACTGGTTATTCATGACTTTATGAAGATATGATTTTTTTTATTGCTATACACTGATTATCTATCTATCTATCTATCTATCTATCTATCTATCTATCTATCTATCTATCTATCTATCTGTCATTTTCACTATTATCTATCTTTCTATTATTTACCAATCTATCTATCATCTATATATATATATATATATATATATATATATATATATATATATATATATATATATCTATATATATATATATATATATATATATATATATATATATATATATATTTTATATATATATATATATATATATATGTTATTTTCAAGGCGTAAAGTTAGATGTCACATCTAGGCCGAAAGTAAGGTCACATCTATATATATAAATATATATATATATATATATATATATATATATATATATATATCAGTCTGGGCACTTCTATCTATCTATCTATCTATCATTTTGATCATTTTGACCATTATCTACCTATCTATATATATATATATATATATATATATATATATATATATATATATATATATATATATATATATATATATCAGTCTGGCCATTATCTATCTATCATTTTCACTATTATCTATCTATCATTTTCACTATTATCTACCTATCTATCATATATATATATATATATATATATATATATATATATATATATCAGTCTGGCCATTATCTATCTATCCTATAGTAGGGTCACATCTAAGCTACGCTTAGGAAATGACTATATATATATATATATATATATGTGTATGTGTGTGTGTGTGTGTGTGTCATTCTGTACACATATATCTATCTATCTATCTATCTATCTATCTATCTATCTATCTATCTATCTATGTAATAATATAAATAATAACTCAACTCATTAACACCTAACAAAACACGTAGTCTCGTAAACTACTGGTGTGTAATGCTTTTAAAGGCAAACAGATTTTTGTAAATAAAGTGTTCAATATATAAAAGCAACAGTTAAAATATATAGTTAATAGTTAATATAGTTAATAGTTAAAGATAAAGAAAACTTAAAAGACTTGTCTAGCCGTTATCAAGTCAGGGTCAGATAAATGTATTGAATTCATTAACAGATATTATGTTTATATATAGCTACATAAGAAACGCTAATAATTGACCCCAAAGTTCAAAGTTGTTCTATACTAAAAACGTTATCCAGTGATAGCATTTAAATTTTAAAAAAGAAAACGTCATAACAACACTAAAACTTGATTACTGGCACTTGACTGACCCTCTCCCCCTGGTTTTAACGCATATACTTAGTGAAGTCATTAAGAATATATTTATATTGTTATCTTATTTTGTCAGTAAGTCTTGCATTAATTCCTAACCACTAATTCTTTATTTAGTCAGGCTTTTAATGTATTTATCGGGTGATCGTTAGCAATACATTTATATTATACATATAGTAGCCATATTTTATCATTAATTCTTGTATTAATTCCTGACCACTGACAATCTTTTCTTTTTAATTTATTGCATTTCTTTCGTACTCATTAGCAATATATTTATATTATACATATAATAGCCATATCCTATCAGATTAATTCCTGACTAATGATAATCCCTTTCTTATTGATTTTTCAACACAGCATATACTGATTGAACTTAAGTAAAATGCATTTAATCTGAAATGTTTTCTCATTACCACAGAAATATCTACTTTTTTAGCAAAGAAAATGACTCACGCTAAATGAAATGGGATTCTAGCATAATGGATCAGTCGTCAGCATTAAGAGAAGGCAGTATTCTGCTTTCGTATAATTGACTTTTGAATATTAAACGGAAGATTGTCTAGCGTCAGCAATTGCTGCTTATGTCTATATTCAAGTCTTTCTATTGAACAGTCTAAACCGTCTTTGCAAAACTTTTGATGTTCAAGGGGCATTGATGTAATGGAATAACCAGTCACCCCCATGAATGATTATACTATAGGTAGTAAGTAGCTATAAAATCAACCGTGAGAGAGAGAGAGAGAGAGAGAGAGAGAGAGAGAGAGAGAGAGAGAGAGAGAGAGAGACAACACACGAACGAACACCTTCCAACTAGTGGCACTCTCTACTAGATTGACCTGTGTATATAACTGTACCATATTTCATGTTGTACTTGTGTACAATAAACCTTTCTTCCACTATCCACCTGGTGTTATGTGTTTATTCCCTTAGCACGGAATATAATAGGCATTAATATCGATAGTGATTGGGTTTGCTTGGTAGTGGTGATAGATTTTTAATGTTGATTTTTCAAAGTAGACAGTCTATTCCCCTTATTGGGTCAAGTGCCAGATTCAACTAAGGTTATTAAAGTTCAGTAATGTTCATCCATAACAGATAGTAAAGTAAGTTTTTGAACCTGTACCTGTTAAGAGCTAAGCAACTTTCAATACGTAACGTCCCTGCTTTTGAAAAGTGCACCTTGTCTTCATTTTGTCCTCCGTACACTTCATACCGACTTTTCAGTAATGCCATTTAGTTTTTAGGAAATTCTCGTTATTTTAATCTTGGTCTACACATTGATAAAACCGTTGACAACACAGCAAAAAAAAAAAAAATGTTATATGACTAAATATCGTCAATCAGCATCCATGGTCTGTATTCGAACTCGGGTAAAACAACTGAATGCCGGCTGTGACGCAGTCACGTGATCAGGTTAACTTCTTGAATAAACACTAGAGAGCGACGTAGTTAAAACGTTCCGTTCTACTGATAAAACACCGACTTTCTCTGTCCTACATAGCCACAGTACCGCCAATATTTAAGTACTGGACACGCGTGTGTTTAATACTCAGCGATTTTATTGATACATTTATTCACACCTGGTCATTTTCCCTTGTCTTTTCATCACAGTGACCTCCTCAATTTGATATCTACATAGCAGGCGTTCTATACTCGCGTTTTGAACCCAACTGTAAAGTATATTGATCGAATGTTTCACTATAGAAAAAAAGAAACGAAACAAAAACCTAATCGATACGCCATTTTATGTTGACCTAATTTTTTTATATTTTGATTGGTGTTTTTATCACTTTTGTCGTAGTTGTTTCGCCTGAAAGAGGATAAAACATGACTTAGACAAACAAAAAAAATGATGATATCATTATCATCTGTTGCAATCAAATTTACTTTCTTATATAGTAATTCTGTTCAACGACACACTTGCTTCAAGCATTCATGCAGTTTTGAATTTTTTTTTATTAAACGTGGAGTGACTTTGAAAGGAATCTAAAAACCAAATTAGCTGTTTCTTCGAAACGAATATCTAGGCTACTAACAGAGCATCGCAAGCAGCCATAACTTCTGTCGATCCTGTTATTCAAAAGATTCTCTTATTTCTACGTTACAATATCCCGAGATTCTTATTCAGTTTAAGTAAAAATGTCGACAATCAGGATAAATGAATTCTCTTCTGTTAACAATTCCGTTGTCAGCAGATTTGTTACTATAGAAAAACAAAATTAAAAGAAAAGAAGTAAAAATAAAAAAATGGCGAGAGAAAAGAACGTAAGAAAGACAAGAAAAGAAACAAGGTTAATTCTTAGAAGGCGAAGGGCAACATATGATTAAAGATATCGAAAGTAACCTACGATACGCCTTTCTGTAGTCAAAATTATTGTATTACGTTTCTGATAGCCAGAATTCTTTGACGAGTGGTGAAAATGAATAATGGCAAAGATAGTGGGAAATAGTTGTAACAATTCAGTTTTGGTATAGAAAGAGTTTTCATGACTTGCATTTCGTTGTTATTTTTTGCGATATATATATATATATATATATAGGCAATAATCCGTTGGTATATAATCTATGTGAATCCTAATAATATAAAATTTAAAAATTAATCCACAAAGAGAGCTCAATATATTTATTATAACAAAGCATATAAATTACATAGAATATAAATCCCAAATTACCCTATTCGAATAGCTATTTCAGCCTACAAAGACTTTCTTGTAGGCCTTGTCAACTCAGAGGAGTGAAGAAATAATATATATATATATATATATATATATATATAAATTTAGAAGCTGTATTTCAGCGAAGGTGGATTAATAGATAGTAGGTCAAAGCCCTTGGGAAAAGGCATGAACCTATCTTCCCCAGATATACGTAAATAGCAGGACTGACTGGATCTTATAGCCTTGAATGGCAACCGATCTAGGAGAAGGACAAATCTGAATTCAAAACCTGAGTAGTCGAGCAGTCAGCGACTAAACTGGCTCATCCTGTTGAAAATGGTAAACGGAACCCCAGCAGCACAAAAAGACAAGAGCTGTTAAACAGCGAATGAATTCCTCAGAGTCAACTCCAACTTAAATAGATTCACCAACCTGCAATTGGCCAAAGCGTGGTGAGTATGGCCATACCCCTAGAAACACGGCTGTCTATCAGGGAGGATTTCCCACAAAAGGAGTCGGAACTCCCTGGAATTAGATTTCAGCAACTTATGATATCTAGGAGATTTCACATTCATAATTCAGATCTTGCCTTAATTCCATTTTAGAAAACTCATTCTTTATTGGATTAACCATATAAGAATACAAGACCAAAAATTTCAGAGAGAAATTAAATTCTGACGGTACTTTTAAATATGGCCACCGACGTATTCTGGTGTTACCTAAAATAAACATTGTAATTTTTTGGATGATTTTCGTTTCTATTGAAAATATCTGTAACTGATGATACGATTCCACGCTAATTTAAAATTAATATTTATACTTTCATTGGAGATAAATTTTGGCAATTTTTGAGGAGAGGAGAGTGAAATTTCAAACAGGATATTTTTTAATTGAAATTATTTAAAAAATCTATATTTAAAAAATTATTAAAAAACTTACTTAAAAAATTATTTGAAAAAAACAATTTAACTTGATGCAAGAAAATAGTTTTCATTATTAAAAATTTACTTTTCACTGACAAAATTTTGATTTAAAAAATTTACGACTGATTGAAAAAATTGGTATTTTGGGTGAAAATAAATAATTTTTCATTTGATAATAATTTTTTATTCAAAAGAAAAAAAAATTAAATATTTTTTCCCAAATCATTTAATTGATGAAAATTAACTAACAACTGAATATTACAAAGTCAATCAGAAACAGTTTTTTA